CGTCCATACCGAGGGGGTGACGCGAATGGTCATGGGAACGCACTGTGTTACCTCTGCCCCGCTGTGATTGTCAGGGTCTCGTTCCCTGAAGGTAGAGGGCCGACATTGGAGGCGGTGAAAATCTTCGTCTCGGACAGCTGCAGGGAGGAAAAGGCAAGGTCGGTCATTAGGGGAGCGGTAAAAGAGACAGAGAGAGAGAGAGACGCAGCTGGAGAGATCCCACGGCCAGTTCGGCCGGCCGGCTGGCCAAGGTTCCCTGCGCCACCTCGCCCGCTGCCACAGGATCCTCCTGGCGTCACGGCCGGAGGGACCAGGGAAGTCAGCACCCAGCGCTTGACTGGGGTTTGCAAGACATGCAGTAACATACAGAAAAAGGACTGCGCGCGCATGGTCACTCCTTCTGCTGGTTTCAGTCGCACCAGCAAACGAGAGAGCACGCAACAGGGCAGGGGGGTGCTCACGCGACAATAACTGGGTGGGACATCAGTGAGCGTATCCTTCACAATCGCAGAGAATCTCTCATCACCGAGACCGTAAATCAGTAGCACCAACAGGCTACACAGAACTGCGCCCCTCAATCCCCAGATTCCCTTTGAGAAACAAAATGGATACTATTAGGGGTTGTGTAGGGCTGCTGGCTTATTTCCTCATCTTTAATCGCCCCCTTGCAAAGGTGGGGAGTGAACCAACTTCTTCACCTCCTGCAACGTGTGGTGTAGGGACTCACTACCCCCCACCCCTGCAGAAGGGAGTGCCGGGATTTTGCCCCTGACGGCACAGCAGTGTGTGTGTGCGCGGTGTGTATGTGTTTGGAGGTGGAGGGGAAACCTGCAGCCAGGTATCCGCAGCCCTTATCCTTTGAGGTGGTCGTGAGTTTGCAGAGAGCTAAGGAGCCTTGGGGAGTTGCTGTAGACGGTACACACTGCTGCGACTGAGTGTCGGAGGGAGTGGGTGCTTGTCAATGTGGTGCCAATCCAAGCGGCGGGGCAGGCGGGGTGGGGGGGGCTTTGTCCCCAGTATCAAGCTTCGAGTGTTTGTTAGAGCTGCCGCCATCATCCAAGGGCAAGCGGGGGGTATTCCCCGAGACTCCTGAGTTGTGCCTTGTTGATGGTGGGACAGGCTTTTCTTTTCCGTGAGGCCGGGGTGGCGGTGGTGGTGACAGAAGGGGAGTAAAATTTTGAATCAGCAACAATGAGGGAACAGCCAGTGTCATTTCAGATCAGATGGCATTTGGAGGGGAACATGCAAATCGAGAGAAGTAGGCCATTCTGCCCCTCCAGCCTGCTATATGATTCAGTACGATCATGGCTGATCTGATCGTGGCCATGATTGCTGTCTCCCTACCCATCTCCACATTGCCCTGGACTCCCCTCAGTTGAAAACCTGTGAACCTCTGCTGCACTCTCTGGGGAAGAGATACCTCACAGACTAATGACTATCTGAGAGAGAGAGAGAGACTTTCAGTGCTAACCAGAGATGGCAAGTCCCTCCCCCCCATTCTTATTGGCATGTATCTTGGCTTAGCTCGATGAAAAATAATCTCCCCAAGTGTCTGCAGCAGCATCTACCCACGGATCCCTGAACCTCGTGGCCAGGTCACTTCGCTGGTGGTGGTCCTCCCTGCTGCCCCCATCCATCCAAGGGTGGTCTTCAGTCATGGGTCTTTAAAAAAGGTTCAAGGATGTGGCTGTTGTTTTATTGCCCCATGAACTGAGCACTTGCCAGGCACACTGCCAAGGGCAGTTAAGAGTCAACCGCATTGCGGCAGTGTCAGGGAGCCCTACGTAGACTAAACCAGACCAGGAAACGACGGCAGGTCTCCTTCCTCAAAGGAGCTGCATAAATACAAGCTTGCACTATGAGGGCCCACCATCAGTTGAGGCACTGGCAGAGCGAGAGAGACAGACAGACAAACAGCGGATTCACGAGATTGATTCGAAGTGAAGAGCTTGACTAATAGAGAGTTTAGGCCCAATTGAGAGGGGATTGACAAAGTAGCCATGGAGGATGTTTCCCTCTGTGGGGCAATCTAGAACTAAAGGATAGGGTCTTAGCAGATTTAAAGCAGAGCTGAGGAGAAATTGTTGTGAATCAGAGGAATTCTGTCAACTGACAGATTTTTAATGATCAACTGGTCAAAGGCTTATGGAAGGAAGGGAAGTGGAGTTGAGGCCAAGGTGAGATCACCCATGATCAGATCAAATAGAGGAGCAGGCACAAGGGGCTGAATGGCCTACTCTTGTTCATAGCTCTTGAGAGACGGGGAGTGGGGTGAGGGAGAAAGATGATTGGCAGGAGAGAGAGAGAGAGAGAGAGAGAGAGAGAGAGAGAGAGAGAGAGAGAGAGAGAGAGAGAGAGAGAAGATGGGCTGGTGGGGGGGGGGGTGGGGGGGGAGGAGACAGACGTACAGACACACACAGAGAGAGACGGTAGGCAGGGGTTGGGGGGGTGGGGGAGAAGACAGCACGAGCAAGGAAGGGAAATTACAAGAAAACAAAAAAAAGGAGAAAGAGCGAGATGCGAAGTTGCTCTTACCTGATAGCAGCCATTAACTGCTTTTGGAGGGTTCCTTTTGTCATCAGGATTCAGGAAGGTAGTACCTGGTGCTGGCTGAAATACAGGGGAAACTTGAGATATCAACACAGGAGGGCTCTTTACATCAGGTGAGTGCACACACACAAAATTGTTTCGTGGCTTCACAGAAAATAAAAATAACAGAAGAGAGATTTCCGCAGCCACACCGAAACTCAAAAAAGAGACAACGAAAGAAAAAGCAACAGGAGACAGAACCCCCGGTTTCCGAATCGTTTCAGCCAGCAACAGGGACCCTCCTGACATCAGCTGGTGACAAGAGGCCGCTCAGTGATCCCTCCATTACAATGCCTATCGGGTAAGTCGGAAAAAGTTAAAAAATAAAGCAATAAACAAACAGAAAAGAAAGAAAACGAGAAACGCAACCGTACAAATAAAGGCGGCCCCGACGAAACCAGATCTGCGGGAGCGGACTGAACCGAGGTCGGAATCAAACCTGCTAACATCCTAATGTTGGCCCTCCTGGCGTTGCCCAGCACCCTATCGCACTGCAGTGACTAGGCAAAGTAGCAAATCGTCGCCGGGAGACCACGCCGGGCAACCCCTCAACCCCGGGAGAGCCGCCTTGGAAACCAAATTCTGTCCCGACAGGAGCTAAGGCAAACGCTCGAGGGGGCCTGGGCCTGGGCGCGGCTTCGGAAGTGGTTGCCACCGGGCAAGTATAAAAGGTCACTGCCTTGTGGGCATATGGAGCTCTGCTTAGTGTGAAGGCGGTGGTTTCTTTTATGGATGGTATGGGGGGGGGGTGTGAAAAAGAAACGTGAATAAACGGTGGGGTGGGGGTGGGAGGGTTTTATGGATTCAGCTCCCGCCACTGCCCCTCGCAAGGTCAGTTGCGGGTACCGATAACAGATCCGTAAATTTAGCGGCGCACAGCCCGACCTTCGCGTCAATCCTGCCTCCCTCCCTCGGGCCGAGGGGGAAAGGTGCAGTGAGCAACGGTGTGGAGGGGATGGAATATCAGGTTGCCCAGCCTGCAAATCCCAGCCCGGTCTTCGGGCCGAAGCGGAGAGGTGAGCTGCCCACGGACATGACCCCACACTTGCTGTACGCCACGAGCAAAAAAGTGCCTGAAGAATCCAGCAGCTTTGAGAGGGCAACACTTTGTAGTTGAGAGGGAGAAAGCTCTGTTTCAGTGACTTTTACACTGCCCCACATTTAAACCTGCAAGAGGCAACACCTTTTTTTTTTGGTAAAAACAAAAGGCACATCACGACAGCCAATTCACAGTACAGGTTAAATACCTACATCTTCACTCCAGTCGTCTGTCCCCCACTCCTCTGTCACAGTCCGCCAAGCGCCTACAATCGAAAAAAAAAGTTTCGAACACAGTCAGTAACTTTTGGGGGAAAGAAAGCAACATCTGCAGAAATCTGTGTCGGGAACCACAGCCCGAGTGCAGAAAGCCCCGAAAGCATTTATCGTGGGACACAGGCAGAGCATGTCTATGTACATCTTGGATTTGCCCAGGGATTTGAATTCGGGGCCTGGTCTCAATCCTGTGAGGGATGATGTTGAGTGCACCCAATGCTGAAAGGCCAATTTTTTTTTTTAAACTTGAAAATAAAAACTGACAAAAGAAATGTGGAGGCGGGAGTGGGGAAAGAGACAGATGGAGCGGCGAGCAAGTTTCCACACTGTTGTAACACATGGTGCTTAACTGGAGGTGGTGTGTAAGGCCTTTTATCTTGCATCATGAAGCACTGGGAGCCCCCAAGATGAAGTGATACAGCCTTCATTTGGAGAGACAATCTTGGTGTTCTGACAGTATTTTTCTCTCCAAGCGTAAGACAATTCCGGCGGGCCTGTCCCCCAGAACTCTATGGTGTGCGCTCTCTGGATTCTGCGACAAGGAGAGATTATTAGGCAAGTGGGCTCTAGATTCCTCACCATCTGGTCTTCTCGCGTCTCCCGACACAGCAGCGGCTAAGGGCTTGTGCAGTCAAGCTGTTACCACAGGGGGAGAGGGCAATTCACGGTTGGGTTGGGGTGGGGTGGCGTGGGGTTGCGCGCTCTCGAGAAGAAAGCGCTGTGCCTGTCCTTCACAGTCTCATGGTCTTCAAGGACCCAAACTGAACTGTTCACAGAGAGATGCGTACCGGGTAAATCCAACAAAAAAATGTGGGCAGGAGGAGAAGCTAGCGTGATATTGGAAGATGCCGCCAGTCACTGTCTTACCAAAACCAAATTTTTACACTAAGAGCAGGGAAAGGTGAGGTGAGGGGTTGAAAAAGGAAGGAAGGAGGGAAACAGCAGGAACAAACGCAAGCCTAACTGCAGTTTTCTACACCAGCACACTATCTGCATTCAGAGTGTCAATCCTGCAATATATACAAGACAGTGAGAATCCATCGCTAATAAAAGTCACCCTCAGCTAATACAGGATGCCTCGGGCTCGTCATCTCCCAGGCGTTGAGCCAGGCACGGGGAAGAGGCGGCAGCCATCACAGAGAGACCCAGATGGGGTTGTGTCTTGTGGCACATTCGCTCGCTGCTAGGCCAATTCCAGACGTCACGGAGTTCAAATCTCACCATCTGCCACGGCGGGATTTGAACCCAGGTCCCCAGATTGGGGGGGGGTATGGATTGTTGAGTGAGTGATATCCCCACCTTCCCGCAGAGCAAAAACTAAAAGAATGAGCTACTCAAACGGACGATTGACGATTCTGACTGTTCAAACCCCATCACTGTCTTGTATACATTGAATTAGAACAGGCAAGGGAAGAGGAGGCAGAGAGAGAGAGTGAGAGAGAGAGAGTGAGAGAGAAAGAGAGACAGAGAGAGAGGGAGAGAGAGAAAGCAAGCATTCAGGGCAACTGTGACACCATCGTAGGGCTTAACGTTGAGGGATATGAAAACCACTCCGAGTGTGTGGGGGAAGCCCTCTCTGATTGTATCACAGCCTCCTAGAACGCACGCACACACCCCAAGCCAAATGATTCAGCGTGTTATTCCGCAATGTGAGTCTCCATGCACCGCACTACAGCACAGTAATTATTCCACATTAACCATATTGAGAGGTATCTGGGGATGGGCATTGAGTGCACCTGGATTAACCCTTAACACCACCTTCCAATTCGACTCGACCCCATGCTACTCAGACAGCGATTCTCAACGGTGAAAACTTTTCCGTCAAGTTACACAGAGCTCAAGTTTTATTTTGCGTTAATTCTTTTTTTTTAAAAAAATGGGGGTTTTTTTCTTTCAAAACAAAAATTCCCCTCAAAATAAACAAAACAAAAAACAAAAATGGTCTAGAAAACAAACTCAAAAGACAAAAGGTAGATTAGGACAAAGCAAATTAAAAGCAAGAAGGTGGGACGCATGAAAGGGGCATCCGCGGTGGTCAAAGGGTTAAGCATACCAGGTACAGTTTCAAACTTTCTAGGGCCATTAGCCCCGTCGCCCCCACTGAATTGAAGCCCTGGAAATGAGAAACAAAAAGAAACAAAAAAGAAAGAGAGACAATTCATGTAACTCAGGGTTAGTTCGTTTGCTTTTTCTCTTTTGAGGAGGAGGAGGAGGCAGGGATGATACCTTGCATCCATCCCCTCGCTCCCACCCAATGCCCGCAACCAACCCGCAGCAATTGCCAACGGCAGAGACATTCAGCGACGATGCTGCACCAGCAGGCAACTTTCTCATCGACTGGAAGCTCTCGGGAGGAAGCGGCAGGAGTCAGGGTCCCTGTCACTCCCCCTGTATGGCTTGCTCTTAAAACCCACGGGGGGTTCTCCCTGGCAGTAGCTGACACGGCGTATCAGTGTTAGACGTGTGCTCCCTTCAAGGGTCACGCAGCACGGCCCCAGAGTTGACCGAGCATGGGGGCGACACGGGACTGTGAATTTAACAGGTCGCTCTCAGTATGTTTCTGTCGTTATCTTGGGGGGGGGGGGGGGGGGTGGCAGCTGGTTTCTGGGGAGGGAAATGGTCTGGATGGGAAAGGGGGGAAACTGATGCTGGCTCTAAGCCACAGACTCATGACAAAACCCTCTTGGGAGCATCTGCTGCCAATTTGACAAAGGGATCTGATCTGTCAGCTAAAACCAGGGGCAGGGAGAGAAACAAATGGAAGTTTTACACCCCAATTTAAAAACGGAGACCGTGGCAGGCCCCGGGGGCAGGTGAATTACTCAATGTTGAGCTCCATTTGGTTCCCCCTCAAATTAGTCCAGTGTAAAAGACACCACGTTGCCCAATTATTTGAACAGTCCATCCGTTAGAAGATTTCTGGCCTATCTCAATTCAAATTTTAACCACATATCCAATTTTAAAACTAAAGGAGTGAACCCTTCTAATTCCTATAAATCTGCCCCAATCTATCAGAAAGATGTCACGAAACTTGAAAGGGTGCAGATAAGATTTACCAGGATGTTGCCAGGTTTGGAGGGTTTGAGCTGCAGGGAGAGGCCAAATAGGCTGGGACTATTTTCCCTGGAGTGTTGGAGGGTGAGGGGTCATCTTATTGAGGTTTATGAAATTATATGGCGCATGGATAGGGTGAATAGCCCAGGTCTTTATCCCAGGGTAGGGGGGGTCCAAAACCCAAGGGCACAGGTTTAATGTGAAAGGGAAAAGATTTAAAAGGGACCTGAGGGGGCAACTTCTTCCATGCAGAGGGTGGTGTGTGTATGGAATGAGCTGCCAGAGGAAGTGGTGGAGGCTGGTACAATTACATTTAAAAAAGGTACCTGGGTGTATACAAGAATACGAAGGGTTTAGAAAGATATGGGCCAAATGGGACTAGATTAATTTAGGATATCTGGTCGGCATGGATGAGTTGGACCGAAGGGTCTGTTTCTGTGCTGTTCAACTCTATGACTTGGCTCTGCTCCAGAAGGTGTTGGAAGAAGTTCACTCTACAGCACCCAACCCCTCTCCTGAAGGGCGAGCTCAAACAGCTGGTCTAAAGATACTTCGGGGCATTTACAGAAAACTAAAAGTTCTAGCAGAATCGGACAGGGTAAATGGAGGAAGGATGTTCCTGATGGCTGGGGAGTCTCAGGTCTACAAATGCACAGTAAGGAGCCTGTGGAATTCTCTCCTGCAGAAAGCCGTTGGGGCGAGTTTATTAGACATACTCAAGAGAGAGCTGGAAACGGCCCTTGCGGTAAAGGGGTACGGAGAGGGAGTGGGAGACTGAAAAATGCACAATCAGCCCTGGTCAAACTGAATGGTGGTTCAGGCTCGATGGGCTGAATAGCCTACTCCTGCACTTTTTTTTTATGTTTCTGTGCATGAAGCGCCCAGGGAGTTCTTTGCCCCAGAAAGCAGTCGCGACCAAAACATAATGTTTTCAAGGAGCAGTTAGATAGAATTCTCAGGGTTAAATGGGGGTGGTGGTGAGGGGGTGGGGGCGCGGGGCGGAGGTTGGTGGGAGGAGAAGCCGAAACAGGGGACGGAGTCGGATGATCATTTTCACCATTGCCTCCAGGGAGGGGGTAAAGGCTGCTCTTTCAGTTTCAGCGTGAAGACCCCAGGGCAAAACAGCAGGCTGAATTTGGGGTCTCTGATTGCTTATATGTGGAAGGGAAAAGGCAAGTGTAGGGGGTCCTGCTTGGGCACACAGTCACCTGCTTCCCCCTGTTTGACTCGAGCTGAACAAGAGCAAAGCCACTTACTCGTCCCATCATCCGGCTCAAAGCTGCTGGCGCTGTTCCACGTCGGGTTGGGGTTCCCGTAGTACTCGTCCGTGCTGGCTGGGTCCGTGTAATCCGCAGGGTTAAACGTTCTGAAACGGGAAGGGAAAGACTTGGTACGGACCATCCCAAAGGCAGCGAGCCACCACGAGGGCCTGCCAACGGGCGCAGAGCTTGGTGCGGCTCGGAGAGTTTCCTGTCAGACACAACGGCGACGCGCCTTTCCCAAGCGGGCCGGGGCCCAGAACCGCACCAATTCCATCTGCTACCCGCCTCAAAAAATGCTTGTCCTCTCTTCCAAATCCTACCCTTCCTGCCAAAACCCTCCCGAGACAACGATGCCCTTTTGTAGCCTCCTGCTTATGTCACGCCATAACAGTGCCAGCAAGGGTGGATGGGTCTTCACCTGTGGAGAGAAAGCAGAGTTATCATTTCGGGTCCAGTTCTTCAGAATGTTTTGAAGAACAGACAACAGACCTGAAATGATAACTCTGCTTTCTCTCCATAGGTGCTGCCAGACCTGCTGAGTTTGTCTAGCAATTGCTGCTTTTATTGACCAGACTAAAACCTGGAAGGGGCAGGTTTCTGAGGAGAGGCGAGACAGTATCCACTGGAGTTTGGAAGAGTGATAAGGGACTTGATTGAAGCATACCAAGATCCTGAGGGGACCTGACTGAGTTGGTGGGGAAAGGAGGCTTCCTCTCGCGGGAGAATCGAGAACTGGGGCTCGCTGTTTAAAAATAAGGGGCTGCCCATCAAAGACAGAGAAGAAATGTTTTCCTTCAGAGAGTGTTTGGTACTGTACTTCCACTGCCATTTCAAGAAGAAATGGCTTGAATATTTTTTAAAGCAGAGATAGAAAGATTCTTGAGGGAGTTAGGCAGTAATGTGGATCCACCATCGCCTCGTTGAAGGGGCCAAATGGCCTACTCCTGCTCCTGTTGCACATGGTTTCACACAGCGAGCGGTCGGGCTCTGTAATATGCTGCTCAAGGCTATGGAAGAGGTAGCTTCAATCCAGAGGGAACTGGGTTATGTGAAGAGAAAGAATGTGCAAGGTTATAGGGAGAGAAGACACTAAGTGAGCAGCCTCCTCTTGCGTTGTCTGAGCTATAGTTGGCTTTCTAGATTAGTGCCCTTGAAGTACATCAATTCCCTGCTCTTGTTGCCTACACTCAAGAACACCTTGCTTCCTCAACCAGATCTTCCATCTCTGATGGATGGCCTGATCACATTGATCGATCAGTTGGAGGCAATGCATGGGAACGCAAGAACAATCAAACCTCAAGCCAGCTCGAGCTCAGTTCAGAATCCACACCTGTCAGCTGTAAACCGTTCTGTTGCTGTTAGGCGATACCAGCCAATGCACAACTGCCCAGCACCGAAGGCCATTCAGCCCATCGTACCTCAAACAGCTGGACAGAAGCTACACTCTAAAGCGTGGAGGAGGCTGGGTCACCAAATATAACATAAGTGAAGTCAGAGAGACTTCTGATTGACAAAGGGACAGACAGAAAAGTGGGGTCGAGGCCACAAGCGGATCTGCCATGACCTTTAGCGAATGCGACAGCAGGCTCAAGTCGCCAAATAACTGGTTCAACGCGTCCAACACATTCAAACGTCAAGTTGTGGCCTTTCTCTTATTCACTCGTGGCCTGCTGCCCATCCCTAGTTGCCCTCGAGATGGTGGTGGTGAGCTGTTGCAGTCCATGGGCTTTAGGTAAACCCACAGTTTTGCTGCTGGGAAGTTCCAGGATACTGACCCAGTCACAGTGAAGGAACGGCAACATATTCTCAAGTCAGGCTGGCAAGTGGCTCGGTGGGGAATGTGCACGGAGCGGTGTTCCAATATATCTGCTGCCCTTGTCCTTCGAGATGCGAAGTGGTGGCAGGTTTGAACCTGAACTAACAAAACCGAGCACCTCCTCCTGGTAAATTGCACAGGATGGAAGAGCCTGCGATAAGAAAAAGCTGGAACTGCGACCTTTATTGTACCGTTTCCATCCCATTCGATGTTGTTGAGGCATTCAGTCGGTGGAACAAATAGCAATGCTGCCTTCCTACCAGCCTCAGACACAGCTTCGACAGTGTCACCCACATCCTGTGAGCAGGGCAGATGGGTAGGAGTTCTGCCCCCTGTCTGATACATCCTGCAGCAGGAGCTGCTCTCCGGTGTTCTAAAATCAGGAGCGTACGGTTTAGGAACCAGTACGGGCCATTCGGCTCCTTGAGAAAGTCGGATGAAATCCGCGCTGAACTGATTGCGATTGGAATCCCACTGCGACTGCTCCAAGCCTGCCCCGATACCCTGCGCCTGTCCTCATGTTGGTCAAAATTCTCTCTCTGCACTCGTTCGCAGGATGCAGGCACTGCAGGCAAGACCAGCAGTTAATTCCCGTCCCTAATCGCCCTCGAGCCGGCTGCCTTTCCAGAAAGCAGTGGAGAGTCAACCAATTCGTTGTGGGGTCTGGTAGGGCCCAGACCAGGTAAGAATGGGAGATATTTCTTCCCTAAAGGACACTCATAAACCAAACGGGTTGCTACACCAAACATAGCTGTCACGGTTTCCAGATTGGGCTTTCTGATTTGCTAATTGAAGCCACCTCCGTTGGAAAAGGTCCCTGAGAGTTGGAGTCTGGAGAGAGAAAGGCATTGGTTCAGTTCAGAGGTTTATGCCTCAAACCCTAAGCTGGCTCCCGATAACAGACTAGTCATCTTAAACTCTCACTGGGCACATTCAAACAAATCGAACAGGAATGTTTATACTGCAGTGATTATACTGCGGTGAAGGCTAAGAGATCCAGCTCTTGTACCTCAGCATTGCTGAGGAGATTACCAGGTCATGACAGAACTGTGCCAAGCACAAAATGGGTCTTAACAGGTACAGTCACGTTCACACGTCACCCCCTCCATCCCACAAAAAGGCTTATACTGGCTCGCTGTTAACTAACTCATTTTGTTTACAATTCTATGTCTTTTTCTGAACTGCCTCTGTGAACCACTACAAGCCTTCCTGTCACCTCCTCCGACCCTCCGACATCTCTGCTCTCCAATCCCGGCCTCTTGAGCACCTCCCTGATTCCCACTGCTCCACCAATGGTTGGTGTGCCTTTAGCTGCCTGGAGGCCCGAGCCCAGGAATTCCTGCCATAAACCTCTCCATCTCCCCGCAGCCCCCCATACCTTGAGGACTTGCTAGAAACGCGCTGGCCAAGCTTTTAACCACCAACATCTCAAGTGATTTGGTGGTAATTTGTTTCTTAACATACCAGTCTCAGGAAGTGGCTTGTTCCTTTAAATACCAAAGGTGCAATGTAAATACAAAATACACGTTCAAAACTAAAAGCAGGAGCAGAAATAGGCCATTCAGCCCCTCGAGTCTGCTCCACCTTTCAATAAGATTGTGCTGATCTGATTGCGTTTCAAATTCCAATTTCCAAAAATTTTTTCTACTTCTGCCTTAAAATTCAGGACTCTGCCTCACGTGGTAGAGCTTCAAACTTGCACAGCCCTCAGTTTCTTTACCACACCCCTCAGTTTCTTTACCACACCCACCCTGTCAAGACTGTTCGGGATCTTGTGCTGTTCAAAAAGGTCACCCCTTGCTCTTCTAAGCTCCAGTGGAAAGAAGCCCAGTCTGTCAAACCTCTCCCAAAGGCAATTCACCCATTCCAGGTAGCAGTCTAATGAACCTCCTCTGAGCTGCCTCCAATATGTTTACACCCTTCCCTAAAGAAGGAGGCAAAAGCTAGACAATGTCTTCGAGATGTGGTCACTCCAATGCCCCTTATTATAGGAGCAGAACATCCTCCTTTTCATAAAAGCCAAAAGAACTGCGGATGCTATAAATCAGGAATAAAAACACAGTTGCTGGAAAAGCCCAGCATGTGTGGCAGCATCTGTGAAGGAAAAAACAGTGTTAACGTTTTGGGTCCGGTGACCTGTTCTGACAAAGGGTCATTGGACCCGAAACATTAACTCTGTTTTTACTCTTCACAGGTGCTGCCAGAGCTGCTGGACTTTTCCAGCAACTTCTGTTTTTGATCCTTCTTTTCATGCCTGTTTCCTCCCACGAGAAAGGACAGTGTCCAGATTAGCCTTCCTGATGACGTGCTCTCCCCTACACACTGGCTTTCCGATTTGCGCTCTTGAACGCCCGGATCCCCCTCCACCTCGGAGTTCCACAGTCGTTCGCCGTTTGACTTTTTCATTCGTCCTGCTGAAGTCACGAACGTGACTGTTTTCTCCACGGTACATGGCATCCGTTTCGGCGGGGCGCCGCGGCCAGTGTCATGATGCCGAGTGCGCTTCATTGGCTGCGACAGCTGCGACGGGCGCTACGGAAATGCAACACCCCGAGGCGGCCAATCATGAGAGTCCACAACCAGCCCCTAACCCTTTACTTTCTGGCTGTCGTTTACACAGGGAACACATCTGCCCCTCCCACCATCACCACCAACAACCCCCATGTACCCTCTGCTTTTGCTGGGAAAGGAACAATAGAAACTCTCAGCTCAAACCCCTTACTTCTGACCAAAACCCTACCCCATGCCACCTGGACATTTCCCACTGTTTCCAAACTCCCCTCGAGTCCACATTACCAGACAATTATTTCAGACCCATCTCACACCCTTCACGCTGAGAAGATTCTTTGCCCTCCCCGACCATGTCAGATTTCAATCGACTGGTTTTATACAATTGACGCCAACACACAAGATAAACGCCCAGCAGTCACTGGGTAAAAATTCATGTTACAAGTGGCCACGACTGATCGGTGGCTTCTCAACAGCCAAGATTGATTCAACTTACCCCATCCCCTGGGCGGAAAACCTGCCCCCTCTCCGGCCCAGACCTGAAAACAAAAATCAGAAGCAAAAATCAAGTTTCAGTTCAAAAGAACAGAGTCCACAGGTTGGTCCCAATGCATTCTGAATAAGGAAATCTCAGGACAATACACATTCGTGCGACTCCCAATTTCCATCACGCCCTCTGGCCCCTACACACCCGCTCTGCCTCCATCACCTCCTCCGGCCCCTATGTCCCCCCACTCCCTGTCTCTGTTGCCTCCTCCAGCCCCTACACCACACACCACCCCCACCCCCCGCCTCCACACCATCTGAGTCACCTCCTCTGGCCCCTACACCCCCTCCCTATCTGTCACCTCCTTGAGGCCAGAGGTGTTCGCTCAATTCCAGGAAATTTAACCCTGTGACAGCGAAGGGACTCTCTCCAAACTGCAATGGGACACTAGCTGCTGTCCTCGCCTGCAGTGGGATGCAGCCCATCAAGAGCTGCACCCTTCGGGTTGGGGTCGGGGGGGTGTGGGGGGTGGAGTGCACGAGCTGCTTACCTCTGCCTCTGCCACGTCCTCGCCTGCCTCTCTCGGAGGCCCTGCTAAAGGTCCCACTGCTCTTGGCTCCATCCAGTCCATTCTCCTGGCCCCGAACTGCCGAGAGAGAGAAATCCGACTGTAGCATTACAGTATCAATTCACAAAAACAAACCACAGCAAAGTGTGAGGGACGCACATTATGAAACCCCTGCTACAATTGACAGGATATGGGTGAAGCTGTGTACAACTCTAGTCTTCTTATACAATCATAAATACTCTATAGTGTGGTAGCAGGCCATTTAGCCCATACAGTCCACACTGACCCTACCCTATCCCTGTAACCCTGCACTTCCCATAGCCAATCCACCCTAACCTGCACATCCCTGGGCAGTACGGGACAATTTAGCACGGCCAATCCACCCCGACCCGCACATCCCTGGGCACTACAGGACAATTTAGCATGGCCAATCCACCCTGACCTGCACACCTGTGGACTGTAGGAGGAAACCCACACAGACGTGGTGGGGGGGAAAACGCTGCAAGGCAGCAGTGCTAACCACTGCGCCGAATCCTTACTTAAGGATAGACTTGCAAACAATTTGGAGAAGGCTCACACAACTGATTCATGGGACGAATGGGCTGGTCTTACAAGGTAAGGTGGAGCAGGTTGGGACTGCATCCATCGCAGTTTCAACAATTGAGCGGTGATCTTATAGAAAATAGGTGGAGGCAGACATTCGGCCCATCAAGCCGGCACCACCATTCTATATTATCACGGCCAATCATACAATTTCAGTAGCCCACTCCCGGTCTCTCAATACCTTTATCCCTTTAGCCGCAAGGGCCACATCCAGCTCCCTTTTGAATATATCTAATGAAGTGGCTCCAACAGCTCTCTGCAGGAGACAATACCACAGGTTCACAACTCTGAGTGAAGAAATTCTCCCTCATCTCAGTTCTGAATGGCTTACCCCTTAACTCTTAGACTGTGTCCCTTAGGTCTGCGCTTCAGGAACGTTCTTCCTGTATGTAGCCTATCCAGTCTCATCGGGACTTTACAAGTTTCTATGAGATCCCCCCCTCATTCCTCCAGCGAGTACAAGCCCAGTCGATCCAGTCTTTCCTCATATGTCAGTCCTGCCATCCCGGGAATCAGTCTGGTGAACCTTCGCTGGACTCCCTCGATAACAAGAGTGTCCTTCCTCAGACTGGGAGACCAAAACTGAACACAATACTCAAGGTACAGCCTCACCAAGACCCTGTATAACTGCAGCAAGTCATCCTTACTCCTATACTCAAATTATTGAGATATACAAGATTTTGAGGGGGGGGGGGGGTTGGGGGGTTGATAGGGGTGGGTGCTGAGGGGGCATCTTCCCCTCACACTGGGGGGAAATCTAGAACTGGTGGGGGTGCGGGGAGGGCTGAATAGGGTTGAGGAAGGGTCACCGGACCCGAGACGTTAACTCTGATCTTTTGCTTCACAGATGTTGCCAGACTGCTGAGCTTTTCCAGCAACTTCTGTTTTTGTTCCCGATTTACAGCATCCGCAGTTCTTTCGGTCTCTTAATGATGATGGAGATGAGTTTTCTTCTCTCAGAGGACTGAAGGGTCTGTTTCTGTGCTGTATGGCTATGACACATTTGCCACAAGGAGAGATTGGTGCACACTGAAGCTTAGAGCGTGAGGGGCTCTCATGGAGAGGTACAAATTTTGAACAGGGCTGGACAAACCGGATGCTTCCCCTGGCCGGGGGAACAAGGGGTCACGATCTTGGGAATACAAAGTACAGCATTTCAGACTGAGATGAGGGAAAACGTTATCACTTGAAGGGTGGTGACTGTGGAATCCTCAAAACACGGAAGGCAGCAGAGGCTACGTCACAATGCATTTAAGACCCAAAACAGATTCTGGAGGCAAAAGGAGTTGGGGGTACAAGGGGAGACTGAGAGTATGTGTTGAGATAGAGGAGGATCAGCTACGATCATATCGCATGGCAAAGTTGGTTCGATGGACCAAACGGCCCACACCCAGCGGAGCGGGCAGAACACAGGGAGCTCGTGGGGAGGAGGGGGCGAACGTAGAGACTGGCTCCCATAAGGATTGGTCAAGTGCAGATACAGTGACGCTGGTAGTGGTGATGGGTGAGCTGGAAACTGGATATACAAGAACAAGAAACAGATGGATATGCAGAGACTAGATGGGTCAAAGGTTCTGTCTCCATGTTTAAGTTCCGTGCGGAGTTGCAGATACCCGAGTGGCAGTGGGGGGAGCCGCTTTAGCAGTTATTGCGGGTAACTTACACTCCCTGCCCCGGCTCGCGCCCCTGCCTCTCCTGCCTCCTCCTACGCGCCTCCGGCTGAACTCCCGGTCTCTGTCTCGCATTTCTTTGTTCTCCTCACTGGCCTCCACCAAGCTGGTCTCCTTTGGGCCTGCCAAACTCTTCTTCTTCCCGACCATTTCCCAAGAATCCTGTCCAAGAGGAAACGGAAAGGGAACAAAAAAAAAAATCAATTCCAGGGGCTGACCAAGGCGGAGACCGATGAGCAAAAACGAACGGTGGGGTGTGTCAGATTTCGCGTGCTTTGGACAGATCCGATCGAGCATCGTCGCTTGTCTGTCTTACTTTTTGGTGACTACTCCCATCAGTCAAGGCAGTACGGTGGCTCAATGGTTAGCACTGCTGCCTCACTGCACCAGGGACTGGGTTTGATTCCACCCATTGGCGACTGTCTGTGCGGAGTTTGCACGTTCTCTCCCTGTGTCTGCGTAGGTTTCCTCCGGTTTCCACCCACAGTCCAAAGATGTGCCAGGTTAGGGTGGATTGGCCATGCTAAATTGTCCCATAGTATCCAGGGACATGCAGGCTAGGTGGTTGAGGCATGGTAAACGTGGGGAGAGGGCCAGGTCTGTCTGGCACAGTCTTGATGGGCCAAATGGCCTCTTCCCACACTGTAGTGACTCTATGACACAGACCCCACGTGGGCAGGGTGGAAAAAGCTCTTCGATAATTGTCCAGATGAGAGGATGGCCCTTGGAGGAGGGATAGAGTGGGCACATTTTCGAGAACGTGGACATGGCTCAGGAGGAACCCAGGGATCGGAAGGGATGAGAGTTAATGGGGGTAAAAAGGAAAAACAAACACGTGCAGCATGGCCTGGGGAGGGAGAGATAGCCCAAACTAACATCCCCCCCCCCCCCCACCACGGCCTCTCTAAATTCTAGGTGAAAGCACAGTACCGTATCTGGGTTTCCTTCCAGGAGTACATTGATGGCTCTGTTGACGTCACCGTTGCAATCGTGGAGAGCAATCATGCATTCATCCTGGTTCTTGCCTGTAATGTCGATCAGCTGCAGGACACAGAGGACACAGTTGACTCGCTGTCGTTTTTGTCCCTCCCCACATTCCCTGAACATGCAGACAGCCCACAAGGACGCGAAAGGGAGTCGTCGGCAGGCCATCTGATAACCTGCCCGGTGGCCACGGATCCAGGGATAACCTCTACGCCTCATTTAACTTCCACAAGGCAGCGAGACAGCTGTAACTCCCAGTGGGAGTGAACAACGTACAAAAGAAACAAGAGGCTCTGCTGCCCTAAGGCAAGCTATTACTGCTCCCTGGGGTATTCTGCTCTTGCAAATAAACAGATTCACGCCTCGCAACCTTAAAATGCTGCCAGCCCAGGAGGCCACTCAACCCACCATCCCTGTGCCAGCTCTTTCAAAGAGTGAGCACAACTTGTTCTCCCTTTGCTGCAGGAGCCCAGCGAATCTTTCCTCTATAAGTGTTCATCCACCATCCCTGTTTTGAATTCAGTATTGAATCTATGCCGGGACAGTGTATTTCACACTGGGACACCTCTACGTGTAAATTTGTTTCCCCTCTAGAGTACTGTAACTATTTCAAGCTCACAGTTTGTTAAAACACATCTAACCCCACCACCACCACCATTTTTTTCTCTTCAAATCTGTGTCCTTTGGTTGACCGACCCTCCTATTGGTGGGAACAGCCTCATTTCCTCAATCGAAACAGCCCACCAACCTCACAATTTTGAGCATCTCAATTCAATCTCCCCCTCAAGCTTCTCCATTCCAAGGAAAGCGATAGCAGCTCCCCGCCCCGTGCGAACTATAAACCCAGACACCGCTCTCTTTCTCAATCCTGGTGCGGAATTTTGTTGGGTCAAATTGGCTCATCAAACAATCTCTTCGTGTAACGAGACTACGAAAGGCAACTCCAACCCCAGACTTCAGAAGCTCACTGAATAAAACCGTCTGCAAGGGCGGCCTAACGCACTCAGCGCCGCATGATGGGGGAAGTGGCGGTGCCGCCGGGTGGGTTTTCTGCCACCCCTATTTGCCTGCAGTACGACTAACCTGCTTTACTTTCTCCTCGAAGTCAGCATCATTGTGGTCTGAAATCATCTGTGCAATTCGTATCTGCTCTGCTGTAGCCTCCAGAAGGAAGGAGAAGAAACGCTTAGTGACAGACAACAGCGAGGCACAAGATGGTCACATTTAATTCACCTGCCGCACCAAAAATGCACCAGCCTCCTCCCACCCTCTCTCCATCTCCCCCTCTCCTTCTACTCCTTTCTTCTTTGGGTCTTCATGCGGCACCTCCCTAAGTGCAACGACAGATCCCCAGGGAGACAGAGTCACTCCGCTCCACACTGCCGGGCTCTCTTGGTTGGGGTGGGAGCGTGATTCTGCCCAATTCCTGGATGATAGATAAATCTATAAATGCAAAGGGGCCAGGGAAGAAAGCAGGTACCAAGTTTGGATGGTCAGCCGTGGTCATGTTGAATGGGACAGCAGGCCCGAAGGGCCGAGTGGGCTTACCCTCCTCCTACTTCCTACAAAGGAGTGTCTTATGGGTTAGCTCAGTTGGCTGGACGGTTTCTGAAACAGAGTGACGTCAGCAGGGGAAGGTCCCATTCCTGAGGTTAACTATGAAAATCCCTGCTTCTTTACCTCGCCTCTCACCTAAGGCATGATGACCCTCAGGTTAAACTCACAACCTGTTGTCTCTCGCTAATGAGAGAGCAGCCCCATGGTCCTGACAAAACTTACCTCATGCTGACGGCCCCCACCTTCTCTATATTAAACCTGTGAAGTTTACATTTCAGAGAGGAGCCCTAGCTGTTTGCTTCTGACATTAGTTACTGTGCTAACTTCTGCTGAAGTGCCTTTACTCGGTGGGGTGGCTGCAGTGGTATGGGGGTGATTTGAAATAAAAGCATTCACACAAAGCGAACCCACAGTGCAGCGCCAGAGTGAGTCACAAGGGTTGGTCGCTTCTCTGTGGTACTTTGATGCTTGGCAACAGTGCCCAGAAGGCTCTCTAACCCCTCTGGCTCTCATCAGAAACGGGAACCGAATTGAAATCTACAAGTCACCCATACGGTGCACACAGATCTGCTCCAGCTTGCCTGACTGGGGGAAAACATTGCCACGATGCTCAGGCAGATAGAAGCACATATTTGAAGGCCTCAGGGCACACACGTTCACGTGGCAGGGCAAACAAAGGTGGCGAGATGAGAAAGGGAATGGCCTCACAAGTAGGGGCACGGAAGGCAAAAGCCCAAACTGTAAAGGGAACAATGCCAGACCTTTGCAAGATGGCCTCAAGCTGGAGTGTTGGGGTGAGTTCAGGGTGACTACGCTTCATGTGGTCAGGGAGATTTACTAAAACGGCAGGGGTTTAGGTAATGCAGAGAGGCTGAGGGGGGAGCTAGAAATGCTTTCCTTAACAGCAGAAAGGCTTTGGGGCATTCAGGATCAAAAGCAGGCTTTAGAAGATGTTTAGTATGCTTGCCTTCACTTTTCAGATGTTTGAGTATAGGAGTTGGGACGTTATATTGAGGCTGTACAGGACGTTGGTGAGGCCTCTTCTGGAGTACTGCGTCCAGTTCTGGTCACCCTGTTATAGGAAGCATATTAAGCTGGAGAGGGTGCAGAAGAGATTTACCAGGATGTTGCCAGATATGGGTGGCTTGAGTTATAAGATGAAGTTGGATAGGTTGGAACTTTTTCTACTGGAGCATAGGAGGTTGTCACGAGGGGTATAGATAAGGTGAATTGCAGGTGTCTTTTCCCTAGGGTGGGGGATTTCAAGACTAGGGTGCACATTTTTAAGATGAGAGGGGATAGGCTTAAAAAAGACCTGAGGAACAATTATTTCACTTAGAGGGGTGGTTGGTGTGTGGAATGAACTTCCTGAGGAAGTGGCAGATGCAGATACAGTTACAATGTTTACAAGACATTTAGGTGAGCACGTGAATAAGAAATGTTGAAGGATACAGGCTAAGCGCAGGCAGGTGGGACTAGTTTAGTTTAGGATTATGGTTGGCATGGACTGGTTGGACCAAAGGGTCTGTTTCTCTGCCATGAGCAGACCTTGGCTGGGGGTGGGGGGGTAATAACCTTTGTTCTGGCACATGCATCAGTAACCACATCTCAGAGGTTTTAAGACAATCGATTAAACAATTGAACAGCAACGGGACTCAAATGTTTTTGACGAGAAGTTAAAATCTGGGAAAGCAGACGGTGACAAGTCAAGAGGATCTGCAGAGGGCAAAGAAATCTGTAGCCAGAGGACTGATCCACATGGGAGTGGAGAGAACGCTGAGATCTGAAGGAACTGAAACAGACATTGCTCAGAGCTGGCAACATCCGTGGAGAGAAAATACGAATTAACGTTTCAAGAGGTCACTGGACTCGAAATGCAACCTCTGCTTTCTCGCCACAGATGCTGCAAGACCTGAGTTTCTCCAGCAATTTCTGTTTCAGATTTACAGCATATGCAGTTCTTTAGAACAAAGCAAAGAACCAGGATTATATCCGAATGAAGTAACTGTGCTCTAGGATCTGACTAATAAACACCACTGGCATCGGGCGCTGCAGCATATGTATATCGTCCTGTTCTGATTTTCACCCTCATGTCTCTGTTGCCCCAAAGGTACTCAGTGGCCAAAACGTTCTAACCCTTCGCCCTGAGTAGTTGAAGCTGGATGCAGGATGCAGGATCATTGTAAACAGTAAAGGCACCCAACCCATAATATCCAAATGATCGCAAACAACGGGGTCAAAAGCAGGGCAAGAGTTATACACTTGATAGTAAGGTCCTGCCAAAAACAAAAAAAGACCTTGGAGTGCAGGTTCATAGTTTCTCGAAAGTGGAGTCACAGGTAGACGGAGTAGTGAAGGCGGTGTTTGGTACGCTTGCCTTTATTGGTCAGTGCATTGAGTATAGGAGTCAGGAGGTCATGTTGCAGTTTTACAGGACACTAGTTAGGCCTCTTTCAGAATACTGCGTGCAATTCTGGTCTCCCGGCTATAGGAAGGATTTTGTGAAACTTGAAAGGGTTCAGAAAAGATTTCCAAGGATGTTGCCAGGTTATAGGGTTTGAGCTATAGGGAGAGGTTGAATAGGCTGGGGCTATTTTCCCTGGAGCATTGGAGGCTGAGGGGTGACCTTAGAGAGGTTTATAAAATCATGAGGGACATGGATAGGGTGAATAGCCAAGGTCTTTTTCCCCAGGGTAGGGAAGTCTAAAACTATAGGGCATAGGTTTAAGGTGAGAGGGGAAAAATATAAAAGCGACCTTTTTCACACAGAGAGTTTGCGTGTATGGAACGAGCTGCCAGAGGACATGGTGGAGGCTGGTACAATTACAACATTTAAAAGGCATCGGGATGGGTACATGAATAGAAAAGGTTTAGAGGGATATGGGCCAAATGCTGGCAAATGGGACTAGACTAGTTTAGGATATCTGGTCAGCATGGACAAGTTGGACTTTCGGGTCTGTTTCTGTGCTGTATGACTCTGTGGCTGTACCTTACCTTAGACATCAGAGAACGCTGTTATGTGAACACTGACTCCAACCCTCATCTTCCTTCTCACTCTCTGGCATGTCTCTACCTGCCAACTTGTCTCAGCAAGCAGCAATTAAACTCTGACTGACCTGAGCTGGATTTACTTACAGGAGCAAATTCGAGACAGCCTTGCGCAAGCAGGAAACTAAAACAAACAGAAGCCCAACAGAGAAAACAGCGCAAGGCTCCAGCTGAGATCGGAACAACCGTTGAGCAACTCTCACCCCATGAGCGAGCTTTGTGCTGAATTTCGTGTCTCTACCCCCTAGGACACTGATTCACAACACTGCAACACAGTCTCAGAATCACTAGAGACCTTCATGGGCACTTCAACCCGACAGAGTATTCTCCTGCAAGGGTGGCAGCATGATTGGCAGACTACATAACCAGGCTAAATGGATGTTTTCCCTCTCTGGTCAGGGGCAGAACCTGATAGTACAGAATAACCCCTTCCGAACCAAAACAAATAATGTGACGTTTCATGACCAGGTATTATCTCGCTAACTTGAGGCTGCCTGACACGACAGACTCGCTGCATTAGCCAGATCTGGCTCCGAGGGGACGATTAGAGTTCGATTGCTGTGTTTGAAGGCAAGTTAATAGGCGGAAACATGCTTGTAAATTCCAGGTACAGGAAAAGCTTCAGGAATAGGGAGACGGGAACATGCTCTCTGACACTCCTCTCGAGGAGAATCACCTCACCAACTGCTGTTGTCTAGACCCACACCAAAGGGCACAGCGGGCTAAGGTGACCTGTGGAAATTACCGGCGCCCAGGGAGGGAGGCAGATCTGAAAGGACACGCAGGAGTACTTGACTCTCCCCCTTGCAAAAAGATGATTACCTGTGGCCGCTGTTTCTGCTGTGTCTGATTCTGCGTCTGTGTCTGATCCCAGTTGCCCCGGGCTCGATTCGTGCCCACCGATGTCATCATTTACAGTATATACAAATAACAGTATTTACAAGGTACAAACCTGCGCAGGGGACAGACAGAGAGAGAAACAAATGAAGAAGTGACCCCAATTACTTTTACCACAGCGTGCGTCTGTCACTGGCAAAGCCTGTGTTTTTTTTTTAAACCTTTCCTTAACTGAATGGCTTGCTGAGGTACATGACAGTGAAGCACATTGCTGTGGGTCTGGATTCACACATCCCTTAGAAAGCAAGGTGCACGAGCTAAAGTAGGTCATTCAGCCCTTCAGAGTCTGCTCCCCCATTCAATGAGATCATGGTTGATCTCATCATCCTCAACTCTCACTTATCCGCCCTTTTCCCCATAACGTTAGATTCCCTTCCTGGTTAAAACTCTCTCTATCTCAGCTTTGAATATACTTAACTGCCCTCTGCAGTAAAGAATTCCACAGATTCACTTCCATCTGAGAAGAAATTCCTCCTCATCTCTGTCTTATATGGATGGCGCCTTACTCAAATTACATCCTCTGGTCCTAGACTCTCCCACACAACGGGAAACAACCTCTCCACGTCTCCCCGGTCAATTTCCCCCTAAGAATCTTGTATGTTTCAATCAGGCCACTTTGCATTCTTCTAAACTCCAATGAGTACGGGCCCCAACCTTCTCAAATATAACAGTCCCTCCATCCCCAGAATCAGCCGAGTGAACTTTCTCTGGACTGCCTCCAATGCCGGTCTATCTTTCCTTAGATAAGTTACTCAAAACAGTTCACATTGTTCCAGCTGTGGTCTAACCAGTGCCTTGCATAGTCCCCTATTTTTATACTCCGTTCCCTTTGAAGTAAAGGCCAACATTCCATCTGCCTTCTGTCTCACCTGCTGAGTACTGGATGCCAGCTTTTTTGTAATTTATGCACAAGGACACCCCTAAATTCCTCTATGCCGCAGCTTTCCACAGTCTTTCGCCATTTAAATAATATTCAGTTAGTCCATTCTTCCAGCCAAAGTACATTTTTGTCAAATTACAATCTACCGGCCAAGTTTTGCCAACTCACTGAGCCTGTCTATATCCCTCAGCAGACTGTTGTTCCCACCACACCCCCTTCCCAAACAGTTTTGAAACTTATAAACTTGGCAATAGCATGTTTACTTCCCTCATCCAAGTCAAATACATTTTTATATATAACATACAAAAAGTAAATACTGTCAGAAGTCACACGACACCAGGTTTATTTGAAATCACAAGCTTTCGGAGCACAGCCCCTTCGAAACCTGTTGGGACTATAACTTCAAGTCTTGTGACTTCTGCCTTTGTCTACCCCAGTCCAAAACTGGCACCTCCACATCATAGTAAATACTGCAGCATAGAGAGGTGAGCAGAGGTGACTATGAAGGCCTATCGTCAGTACCAAGTGGAAGGGAGAAGCAAGGATAGCAGGCCAGAAACAAAGCCATAGAGGTTAGGAGGGGGACAATGATTGAGCAATTGAACAGAGCGGGTATCCCCAAGGAAAGGGGCAAGGGTGTCTCAAATTATTGTTAAGCTAATGAACAGACACAAACTGTAATACCAAATATAACTGTGTAAAAGTCGAGTATCGAAGACTAACGCTTTCACAAATAAGAGGTTCGCAATTCACAAGGTACACGATGTTACGTAGTAATATAAAATATAGTGATATATAGGAGCAGAAAGGCATTCGAGACTGCTCCATCATTCAATAGGATCATGGTTGATCACCCAACTCAGCCCCTCAATCCCTTTAGTCCTCAGAACTATAACCCCTTCCAGAAAACATTCAATGTTTTGCCCTCAGTTGGCACAGAATTCCACAGGCTCACCACTCTCTGGGCAAAGACACTTCCCATCTCAGTCCAAAATTATTTTTCCCCTTAGACTGCGACGCCTGGATCTGGACTCCCCGGTCATTGGGAACATCCTTCCTGCATTTATCCAGTCTAGCCCTGTTCGAATTTTATAGGTTGCTATGAGATTCCCTCCACCTCCTTCATTTTTCTAAACTCCTGTGAATGTAATCCTAAATGATCCAGTCTCTCTTCAGATGTCAGTCCTGCCATCCCAGGAGTAATTCTGGTAAACCTTTGTTGTACTCCCTCTTTAGCCAGAACATCCAGCCTCATAAGGAGACCAGAACTGCCCACACAATATTCCAGTTGTGGTCTCACCAAGACCCTGTAACAATTGCAGCAGGACACACGACTGTAATGAAAAGGAACAGGAGTTGGCCATTCAGCCCCTCAAGCCTTGTTTGACCATTCTGTAGGATCATGGCTGACCAAACATTCCTCACATCCATGTTTCCGTAATCCTCGAACTATCGCAACCATAAATATACACAAAGACTGTGCCCCTACAGCACTGTGTGGCAAGGAGTTCCAAAGACACTCCAGCCTCAGAAGATGCTTCATCATCTGAATCTTAAACCAATCGGAGATGATCCCCTCTGGTCCTAGACTCTCCCATGAAGGAAAGCAGCCTCTCAACATTTACCCTACCAACCCCCTTTAGAATCCAGTACGTTTCCCGGTTCCTGTACTCGAATCTTCTGGCTACGAAGGCCAACGCACCACTTTCCTCCTTCCCCGCCTGCTGGACCCACAATGCTTACTTTCAGTGACGGGTACACAAGGACACCCAGGTCGCCTTGCATCTCCCTCTTATCCCAATCAGTGGGTTTAAAGCCCACCCTCTCCCCATTAACACACTATTGCAGAGCTGAGAGGTCAGAAATCTCTCCTGCCACTCTTTGCCACAAAAGTAGCACAAAATGGAACCTGAAGTACATGACCAAACACCAGGAACTGAACAGAGAACTAGCCTCCGACGTTATTGATTACGTTTACAATAGAATAAGCCCAAATTCTACAGCAAGGTGACATAGATCAGAGAGAGGGGATGCAAAAGTGGGGTGGAAGTAGAAAATCAGCCATGATCATAATGAACAGTGGCAATCTTGAGCCGCCAACTGGCCTCCTGTTTAGGTTATGCCATCGATCACTGGGGAAACCAAATGGCATTGTACAGGTTTTACTTGCCCCAAGCATTTTCTAATAACGCGTGGCAGTGCCCTGGAATTTTCCAAGCGAGATTCCTCAACACAAAATATTTAAGTTACGTACATCTCAAATGTCATATGTTTAGCTCTAGAGAGTGCCAAAGCAGGAACCAGTAACTGCTGGTTATTGGACTGTCTTCAGCCAGCCCTGCCTCGAGGGGACCCGGGCTGTGGTTCCTCCGAGTTCTCTGGCAACTCAGCAGAAGCGGTCAACCTTCGCAGGGAGGGGTATCCAGGAACTGTGAAATCTCTCCAGTGGATCTCTCAAGGCGGCCACTTTTAGGACGACACTCAATCAATCCTTCGGGAGATCGGGAAAGCCCTGGGAGTGTCACAAAGGCCAGGTGCTGGACGACGGCGAGCAAGCTGCGCTACCCGAGGGCACTTGCTCAACTCGTTCTTGGGATCAGGGGGCTTGTCAGAAAGAAACATGAGACTGTTACCCAGTGGGGCTCAGAAAGCTGACCTAAAACTCCCAAGGGGACTTGGCGGGGTGGGGGCTGAGCAGTTGTTCCCCCCGCCGACCTTCATGGAGGGGAAATTCCAGAAACAGGGGGCACAGTTTCAGAGCGAGGTCTCCCTCGTAAGGCAGGGAGGAACTTCTTCTCTCGGACAGTCAGGAATCTGGAATCCTTTCTCCCAGACAGCAGCACAGGAATCTATTCCAGCGTGAGTTTTCGCAAAAAAAAGAGTGGAAGGTTATACGGGAGTAAGGCAACAGGCAGGAAAGTGGAGTTGCGACCATAATCTGAACAGCCATGAACTTTCTGAATGGCCTCCTCTTGCTCCCATGATTCAGGTTATGTGAACCACACACCCTGGGACTAAGCTTCCCAAGTCCAGGAAGACCAATCCAGAAAGGTCAACAACCCACATTTGGTGCTTCAAGAGGTGGAAAGGCACTCTTCAGCAAGGTCAGATAAAGAAATCAAGACCATTCTTGTCCATGGCTTCCACAGGCAGAGTTTAATCTCCAGCACATCAGCACCTGAGGAGCTCAGCTCGCTGACCTTTGTCCAAGAGAGAACAAGTGCCTGTCCTACTGTCCACGGGGAGGCAACTGATCTGAGCCAATAAACGTGGGGCTGGACAAACACAGCACGAGAGGAGCAGGAAAGTCAATGTTTTGGGCTGAAACGATGCATTCCAACCTTACTGTCTCCTCATCATTAAAAACGGATCTGGAACAGGAAGCAAGGCTCTCCACCTCAATCAAGATGACATTGCATCCCCATAACAGAATGATCAGGGCAGGCAATCAAGAGGCTGGATTAGACCTTCCTCATCAACCCTCCCCATCCAGCCTGTTACCATGCCTCCCGCGAACACCCTTCAGGCTCTACGTTCTTCATAACTGAAACCAACAAATTCATAGGGTCCCTCGGATCCAAAATTTATCTTTGAGAATCCATGAACTGATTCACAATGGGTCTTGTTTCCCTGACCTGCTTTCCAAACACTGACCAACGTCCTAGGAGTGATCGTTGGCCGGAAACCACACATGACCAGAGTGTCTACAAGAGCTGGTCAGAGTCTGGGAATCCTGCAGTGAGTAATTCCTGTCCTGACTCTATCTCTCCCCCAAACCCCCCTCAAAAGCCTGTCCCACCATCGACAAGGCACAAGTCAGGAGTGTGATGGAATACTCCACACGTGCCCTGGATGGGGGCAGCTCCGACAAACACTCGAAGCTCGACACCATCCAGGACAAAGCAGCCCCCGTTTGGATTGGCACCATATCCACAAGCATCCACTCCCTCCGCCATCGATGCTCAGTCGCAGCAGTGTGTGCCATCTACAAGACGCACTTCAGCGACTCATTTCGGCTCCTTAGACAGCACCTTCCAAACCCAGGACTTCTACCCCCTAGAAGGACAATGGTAGCAGATGCACGGGGCACCATAAGTACAGTAAAGTTCAGAAAAATGCAGAAAATCCTGGTTGGTTGGCTCGCCGAGCTGGCTCGTTGTTCCGCAGACATTTCATTACCTGGCTGGG